CTCTTTTTGAGGGTAGGGAGTCCGTTGGACTCACGTGTTAAAAAGTTAATTGTTACCTCTGTCAGACTGTATATTAGATGGTTCAAATTACTGTACATAGTCAATGAGTATAACCACGTCATTGTCAACGATAAGAATAAAGCAATTTTTCTAGGAGAAAATGTTAAAAAAAATACAATACCCTTCTACTGGCACCGGGAGAGACTGGTACATTGTGAGATTCAATGATGTCCACAGAAGATGAAATGTTTACAACAGTTGCATTCTTTTCGTGGCCGTGCATTGCCATAGACTGCCGACGCTTGGCCGGAAGATCCACCGACAATTTTCTTGCATTACTGTACTTCACTTTGGTCATAGTCTCGGGTTCTTCAGCAGCCTGGAACAAAATGATTAATCAGTTGCATAACTGTTTTACTACAGTACTATGCTACGTAATTACCATACATGACGTATATACCAGTTAATCATATATTATTATAATATACTAGCATATTATAGCTACCAACGCAATTATCTCCGATGTATATACTTGTGTGACACAAAGAGCCACAACTTATTTAGTAAGAATGAATATAACAATAATACAATTTACTCGGTAAATATTTTTTGCATTAACAAAATTTGATCAATATTAAACGTTGAGAAAGGGTTCCTGTTCACAATAATTATAGTGCAAAAATTTACTTCACAGAAACTAGCTTACTCTCATGACTTGATGTTTTCCAACTGTACTGTCGACATTTGCGGTGCATCGTTTCAGTGCCATTTCAGTCAATCTTTCTGAAACTACATAATAATATTACATAACTAGTAAAGCAACAATAAGATGATCCCACTAACTAGTAATAGAATCTTTTTAGCACAGCTTCCTGGCCAGTCACATATTTATTGAGAAAAAAGTCCAAGTCCAAGTTTAAGTTTGTTTTTATAAACATTAGCCTCGTTCACACGAGACCTCGTATCTATGAAATACGCAGGGTTCTCCAAGAGCACTTATAGCCTGGCGGCCCGCCAGGCTATCGTCGAGCTCCGCCATCCTAAAATGCACCCGCCCCTCTAAATATCATAGCCGCCATGCTAAATATCATAGCCCCCGGACCCCCCTAACACACAAAATGCCTTCGGCGATTTGCAACTAGGACCGTAAAGGCAGCACCCGCCATGCTATAATGAAAAAGCTTGGAGAACCCCGATACAGTATTTGCGAAATACCGAATCTGAGACAAATACGCGGCCGAGCGTTCACACGCTGATTAAATACCGGATTTCTGAAGCCGCGAGCGTTCACACGAGGAAATGTGCGGTCCAAGAGATCCGGTATTTCTCAAGCACGGCAAATTATTCGGGGTCTGGGAAGCCGCGTATTTACATCAAATACCGGATCTGTTTAGATACCGTATTTCTTGAACCGCGCATTTTGCCTCGTGTGAACGCTAAATACCGGATTTCTTGCTATGTGTGAACGCGGCTATAGTCACGATGCACAGATGTCACGTTTCAGACCATAGACCTGTCGAGTATATGGCAGCTTGGTGAATTTTTATAGCAGATGTTCTCACACTAATCATCACATATGACATCAAAGCCCGTCTCTGCTGTTTACTTTTCCGAGATTTTTTTTGGTATTCACTCAACACATCGGTCCCCCTACCCCACAGCATCGTTAGTGAATGCCATGACATGTGATGTTGGGACCGGTGAATAGCACTGGCCAGTACAAAACTGATGCCATTCGTAACCGTTCGCAGTCATAGTACACACTCCTTAATTTGCACTTTAACATGAGTGATTATGGAGGTATGCGTGGTGTTGTCTATAGAAATTATAAAGAGAGACTGCAGACAGTTACCTCCATGCTCCGTCAAACTTTTCTTGTAGTTCTCAAAGTCTGACCAGATTCTTTTCCTGCCATAGGCTTTAATGATGTCTTCATCATTGAGCATGCGAGTGCCATGTGATGCCCTAAAATGCAAACAAAGCGTACAAATTACTAGCAATGACATGTAATGACTACAGGACTGATATAGTCTATATCCTGTTTTATTGGAACCTTGTAAAACAAATTAATATAAAATGGTGAACACCTTAAACATCACTGTAATGTAGCATCCAAAACTTTAGATACATTGCTATATATATGTTGTTGTAATTGTAATCGAGTCCTACTGAGTATAGTCTATCACAAGCATTACAATCCTGGAAAATGCTACAATTAGTGAAACCTTAAATTGTAAATACAATATTTAATAAGATACAATACTTAATTGTCAGGGTGCCCAGAAGTACCCAAGTCACAAAAAATTTGCTGCTGGCAAGGTTGATTGCAACTAACAGTAACATACTAGTAATTTTTACCAAACTACAGTGTGAGTACTACAAACTGAGGTTTTATTAAATATCTCTGTATAAATCATATATAATTAGGTATATAATATAGTATATAAATATATTATCCATTAGTTTTATCAACGTTGACTCGCTACATATAAAGTATAGTCAGCTGGCCTTGGTAGAGTATTCTTTGAGGTTATGAGGTTATTAGGTTGAGCTCTGTGAAGAAGTAGGCCTACACACTGATAGAGATGAATTATATACCTGACCGTACATGACAGGCTAATGTACAGTTCTAATCACAGCCAAGAAGCCATATTCTGTTTCATGACTAAAAGCAACTGGTTATCTGACCACGTCAGACAATCTGTCGCAGGTAATGCGATGTGGCACACAACAGATCACGAGAAAGATCAGCGATGCATTTACACAACGTCTTCAGGATTTTGCACCATTTGCTCATATGTCAGCAGCTCGCAGCTATTATTGGTCACAACTCATAAGGATGAAACATGTCCGCTCAAGTAACAATATATATACGTACCTGAGAATATGACCATTCTGTGATAACTTTAAAAAGTTGCCCCTCTTCACATCCAACTGCAACCCCTTGAAACTGAAAAAGAAACTTGTCTTATAAATAGAGGAAAATGTTTTATTATTTATTTTTATAGATTATATATTTATATATTAATATTTACTTAATTTCTTTCATAGAAATAAACAAATATAAAATAAATGAATATGTGCACGTGTGCGTATGCCGAGTAAATAATACAGGCTACCGTTTTAATATTTATACACGGTTGGTCCACGATGCCATACATGCACCAGAATTTGTGTGAGTAGGAACAACTGCAACTATACATATGTGGTATGATGGAAAGTAGGACTTTTCCCTCAATAATCTACCCAACAGGCACAAAATCAGATATATTTACAAAACTTATCAACATAGTCACAACCCACTATGGCTCATTTTACTTAAGGTAAGGACCACGCTTAGAGCTACGATAAAAACGTCCGCCATATGCCTCCAAAACATGCCATTTCATCGAGTATAAATTTGTTAAATTGTTTCTTATTTTGATTACCAAAATTTAATAAAATGTAATTATTGTCTTATAGTTATAACAGTTGGAATTTAAATACTTCATCATCTCCTATCTGCAGACTGGTGTTTATAGAAACGTCATTTAGTAACTGCCAATTGAGTGACAGTCAAAAAACAACTGACAACAGATATTTACAAGGCCTTTAATTTCAAGAAATGTACTGGTTTTTGTCAGAAATTGTTCATTAGGTTGCACAAGTGGATGTAAATCAATCCTGACTAGAGCCAGTGACTTCTGGAATAAGTCTAGACTAAATATAGTTGTTCATGGCAAGCAAGCTACCTGTATCTGTACTTGTGCGATAACCATATCTACAACAAGCATATATAACCATTTTCAAAAAACGTGCACACACATTGACAATGTATATTGATGAAGATTGATATATCTCAATTTCACTGAGTTCATATAGAAATGGAAGCAGTAACTAATTGCCATTCAGGTCTTTCATTTCAGTTAGAATATTACTATAATTATGACTAAATTTTATATAGTGAGTGACATTTACTGATTCATGCAAGAACGTATAATGTGAATTGTAAAATTTCATATATCTATTAAATGCATCCTAATGTATTTACTTGAGTTTATCATATACATCTCTTTTAAATTCCTTTGAAAATCGAGCTGTAACATGCATAACAAAAGCCATTTCCTAAATTCCCAGAAACAAGCATCGTGGATTTCACCATGCCTAAAGCTGAATAAACGTTCAACAGAACTTCTCCTAGACCAAGGCTTAGTGAATTCATGTATGCACCTAATCAGGCACCAGGTGGTTGTGTCAGAAATTCACAAGTACAGCTTAGAAAGGTATGAGAGTAAAACTACTGAAATTTAAAACCGCACTGAACTACGAACGTTCTAGGAAAAGAATTGCATACCGGCAGTGTAACAGTAAACATACATTCTATCAGTTTCAGATATTTCAGGCAAAATGAGATGGTACAATGGCCTGTTATATGAAAGATTATAGCAGAAATAAATTGTTGTATATCTGGACTGCTTCTCTTTTTGCAGACAGCTAGACAGTTAGACTCCCCTGTTTAAATTTAATTGTATGTCTGTGTATTAAACTAGCTTTCATACTACATACATCTTTACAGAAAGAAATGAATTAAATATATTTAATTGCAGATGCAATTGGATACATGTGAATATTACACAAACTCTGTATGTGGTATATAAAATGTGATACATGTATGGCACAATTCATCAATTAATATTCAACACCAACCAGATTCAATTTACGGAAACTGTGCATGAATGCCGATAACAAAAGAATGCATGCCGATGCTTACTAGAAATCATAGAGTTTATGGTTGCCACCCTCTGTCCGCAATAATCGTTGTGGATAGTGGTACTTTTCCACCAGATGATTAGTGGCAATGTCATAAGTAAGCTGCAAAACAAACAACACACACATGGTAAAGCCTACATAAATAACTAGACCATAACCAAGTAGTACTGCAGAGCATCAGTGCAAGCTTATGTAAGAGGGAAGTATGTGACTTAAAATGTGAAGAATGTGAATTTATATTTGCTATGAAAAGAATGACAAGAGAAAGACTAGCAAGTTAGAGAGCGTGACTTGTTTAGAGATTCAACTCCTATTTGAGATAGTAAATTTGCTGAGCGTATTTGGGAAGTCAAATGTCAGGAATGTATCTGACCAAAGGATTTATTTGGTGAAGGCAGAATATAAAATGCTTGAGTTGAAAGATGAAGCCTACATTATTAAAATATAGATATACTGTCAATGTGATGAATATTATGTGTTTCAAAGACCAATTAAAATATTACGTACACCAACGTGGTGAAGCGTGATTGATTAAGCACCGGAGTGTTATAAGTGACATAAAGTCCTTATACGATACTGTACTGTACGATACGATACTATAGGGTGGTTAACGTGAACATGCACCCAGACAAGTGTTATGTAACACACGGGATACAACGAAACAACACTATGCAATAATCTTTTACTTAACACCGTTTGCTCTACAGCTGTCCCGCGTCAACCTACAAATCTGACAAATGGCAGTGACACAACTTGTTCACGTGTATAGATTATAAAATATGTTTATGCACTTATGCCTAGCGGTTCAAGGAGGTGACCCCAATGCATTTTCGTAATCTGCGACATGCGCAAATGTACAAATGTGGACAGCTGTTATATCCTTGAGCCGGCATAGCCATGCTTAAGTATCATGATTAGCATGAACATATGTACCATAATTCTTGCATTTACATATCTCATGAAAGAATTACGATACTTTATTCATGAAATTCTTAACATTAAATTATTATTTCTATTACCCATTACTACTCACCATTTAGTACTATTAGTATTACTAGTATTAGTATTAGTTATTACACAGCATTGCTGGCAACTTACGTGAAACAGATTGACTAGATTGTACTTGCATAGCGTATGATCTAAATCAAAACCCACTGCGTCAAAATTTGAGATTTGCAGGGGCTTGCAGTTGTCACTGTGCATGCCGTTCAACATGTTCCCACACGCAAACGTTCTCGCATGAGAACGAATGAAGCCTAGTACTAGTAATACAGTGATTGTTGCTGCGGGTGTTCACAAAAAGCTATTGCAGCTATGCAATGCCTATGCCGGTTATGCAGCTATGCAATGCTTATGCCGGTTATGCAGCTATGCAATGCCTATGCCGGTTATGCAGCTATGCAATGCCTATTCATTGTATTGGATTGCTACTCATCTAATAGTACAAGTGTACTACTGTTTGCTTCGTTTTACACTCAGGCATACAACCACAATCCACCTATATCATTACAAATAGATAAATCAACCTGACTGCAAAATATCAGCCTAACTTGTAAATATCGCAGCACACGCGAATCAATGACCGAGCATCGCTCTAGACTGGTACCCGGTCCCACTTCTCGGCATAGGCCCCATCCATCTGGTAATCGAGGTGGGAGCGAGTACCAGTCTAGCATCGCTCCCGCTTGCGCGCCCGCGTAGCTGTATGGTGGCGCCACTCACCGATGAATAAAATAAACTTTGTGCTTTACTCTATCTAGATAGAGTCCACGTATACACTTTGTTGGTTTTGATTCTAGGACAACTACCCCTGGACAACTACCCACCGGACAACTACCCACCCGGACAATTAGTCAATTACCCACCCGGACAATTACTTTCCCGGACAATTACCCACCAGGACAATTACCCACCAGGACAATTACCCCCCAGACAATTACCCACCAGGACAATTACCTAACCTTCCAATAAGGGAAAAACCTACCTTACCTACCCTTCCGTAATTATGTGTTTTTTTCGCTAACAACACGTACCCTCAACTATTATATATATATACATAAAGAATAATCCGGTAGTCACCGTAGGTAGGTATAGGTTACTAGGTAGGTATGCAAGTAGGTATAGGTATAGCTAGGTAGGTAGGTAGGTACGTATAGATAGGTATGGTAGGGGGATGGTAGTTTATCCATAGATATCATATAGAATACAGAATTTTGTTTTCTTTATGCTATATCTATGGTTTATCTCTTGTAGATCCGCGTTGAACTATGAATGATATGCTACCTCGTGCCTTGCTTGGTGCCATACAAGGGCCACAGAGGGTGCTACGTGTTCATGAGCACGTGTGATCTCTGTTTACAAACAGAAAAGCGCCAGCTGGTGGCAAATTCTATTGGTTAATATTTTAATACTCTCTGCTGATTGGTCAAATGGGCGTGGACAGCCAAGTACGTGATATCGGGCAAGTTGGCAAAATCACAACAAAGAGTGTCTCCATATTTCGACTTCGATTCATTACGGAACATTAGTGACATTGCAGTAGTAGTAAATTGTAGCTAGTTAAGACTGAAGATGAGTAGTCTTCAGACACACAGCCAGGAGTCGCCTTCAGGCCTAAATGGTAAGCTTCCCACTCCGCACTCGTACCAGTTCCCCGTTTTGCTTTTCACTGTCACAGTCAACGATCGATCATGCGTGGTATGTGACGTCGTAAGCATAAAACACAAGGCAGCTACATATACCTACTGTATATATATGTATATATATATATATATAGATACTGTTATATGTAGCTCCTTGAACCATGTATGATGTAAATGCTGCTCAGTGTTTTCACAACTTGGAAAGTATGGCGTATGTAGTAAATTGGCCCCTAGGAAAAGTGGGGTGTGGAACCAAAGTGAATGCAGAGTTATAATACTGGGAGGTGGAAGGCCACTATAACCAGCTAATTTTCTTTCTTGGTCACACTTTATCATTGCCAGGTTTTGGTGTTTGAGGCTCTGAGATAATGGCCCAAAATTTAATTAAAGTTTGTTGATGTTTACAGTGCAGCTTGGCGTTGTACATCTATGTATGTATGTATGACTGGGAACCTTTACTTAGATCGGCATTTCCCTGCAAAGAATTAAAAAAAGAAAAGAGAAAATTCATTCCGTGTCCCCTTATAGGTTTGTGAGTGCAGCTGATCTAGCTCCCCAAAGTATCTCCAGGCACTGTTTAGTAAGCTGAACTATTACTATAGTAATATTACCAATAAGT